AGGCACGCGCCACCAGGCCCAGCTGATTTTTTTTGTATTTTTAGTAGAGACGGGGTTTCACCATGTTGACCAGGATGGTTTCGATCTCTTGACCTTGTGATCCACCCGCCTCGGCCTCCCAAAGTGCTGGGATTACAGGCGTGAGCCACCGCGCCCGGCCTATTTCTTAGTTTTTTTGTAGACACAAGGTGTCACTTTGTGACCCAGGCTGGCCTGGAACTCCTGGCCTCAAGCCATCATCCCTCACGCTGGGATTCCATAAACCACCGTGCCTGGCCTGTCTGTAAGTATTTGTAAATAACGCTCGTCCCTGTCTCTCTGCTACCCATATGTTTTCCTTTCCCCAAACTCTGCTCCAGACTCATCCTTGGGAAGCCTTTGCTGATTAAACCCATGTAACTTGGGTCCTTCCATTATTTCGTGTATGCACTGGTGACAGTGTCTTGCTGCTCCGTGTGGCTGCCATGGTTTGCTCCCTGCGGTGTGATGCCAACCAACCCACAGAACTGCCCACGGAGCAGAAGACCACAAAGTCCCTGTCACCAACTCGACAGCACCCTCCCACATTTCCCGAGCGCTCCTTCTCCCGCTCACCTTCCGCTGGCCCTGGTCACTAATGCGCTCCAACGAATCCTCCAGCTCTTTTTTTTCTCGTTCCAAATCTACCTGGGCTTGTCTGGCCATGGACACCTGTTTGGTCACCTCTGCATTCTGCAAAAGAACAGTGTCTTGAACCAGGAGATCTGAGGCTTAGGGGACATCCTCCTCCTAGGATAAGCGATCACACTCTGGCTGTGCGCCCCCTAGAGTCAGATATAGGAATCACTTTCCTACCGGGAGGGAAGCGGGAACAGAGCTGTCACCTTCAGATGCTTGCCACTCATGTATTTCCAAAATAATAAAGAAGGTGGGTGACCTACAGTGGGGCTGGCAGCCAGCACAGAGCCCAAGACACAGAGGCAAGGCAGCCTGAAAAGGTGTGGTTCCCGAGATGGTGGCAGTGCCTTAGAGATCAATGGAGGGGGTGCCGGCCCCGGGGAAGCCGCAGGTCCGAGCCGCTCTCTCCCCCAAGGTGCGGGGCCTGCAGGATGGTGACGGGGGCTGAGGGTCCTACCTTCCGTAGCAGGTCAGCGTGGTTCTGAACCAGCTCGCTGTACTTCTCCTTTAGCTTGCTATACCGCTGTTCATTGGCCTGCGCTTTCCCTGTATTGTCAAGGACCAAGGTGAGGAGTCTACCCTAGCAGGGACCCTTGGCCTCCTTGCAATGAGCCAGGGTCCCTCAAAGATCCTCCTTGTTTTGTTTTGACAGTTTTGCTGTCACCCAGGCTGGGGTACAGTGGCACAATCACTGCTCACTGCAGCCTAGACCTCCTTGGGCTCAAGCCGACCTCCCACCCCTGTCTCCTGAGTAGCTGGGCTCATGGGCATATGCCGCTGCACCTGGCTAATTTTTGTAGAGATGGGGTCTCACTGTGTTGCCCATGCTGGTCTCAAACTCCTGGGCTCAGGCGATCCACCCGCCTCAGTGGGATTATAGGCGTGAACCACCGCGCATGGCCAAAGTTCCTCATTTGATTTCAGGAATGCATATATGTTTTTCTACCTTGGAAATCCTACTTACAGAAACTTCTCTAGGAAGTCATCTTTAAAAAGAATTCTATTGGTTAAAAATCAAGCCGGGGGCAGGCAAGGTGGCTCACGCCTGCAATCCCAGCAGTTTGGGAGGCTGAGGCGGGTGGATCACCTGAGGTTAGGAGTTCGAGACCAGCCTTGCCAACATGGTGAAACCCCGTCTCTACTAAAAATACAAAAATTAGCCGGGCATGGTGGTGTGCGCCTGTAGTCTTAGTTACTCAGGAGAGTGAGACAGGAGAATTGCTTGAACTCGGGAGGCGGACGTTGCAGTGAGCCCAGCCTGGGGGACAGAGTGAGACTCTGCCTCAAAAAAATAAAAGAAAACAAAAAAATAATCAGCCAGGGCTTCATGCCTCTTCAGCACTTACATACATGGCATTTATTCTATCTGGGCTTTCAGCTTTTCAAAAAAATTTAAATTTTTTTAGAGTTGAGGCTGTCCGTTACTGAGGCTGGAGTGCAGTGGTGTGATCAGCCTATTAAAGCCTTGAATTCCTGGGCTCAAGTGATACTCCTGTCTCAGCCTCAAGAGTAGCTGAGACTACAGGCACATGCCACCACTCTCGGCTAATCTTTTTTAGTTTTTCTACAGATAGGGTCTTGCTATTTTGCCCAGGTTGGTCTTGAACTCCTGGCCTCAAGCAATCCTTCCATCTTGGCCTCCCAAAGTGCTAGGATTACAGGCATGAGACACTGTGCCTGGTCGGCTCTCAGCTTTTGTGTCAATTTCTTTGTCAGGACCTCAATCCTCTCTCCTTCTCCCTTAGCATCCACTGCCCAGGGCAAACACTTCAGCGCCATTGTCTATATTTCCCATCTGTGCTCAGGCCTTTGTGCCTGCAGGACTCGAACTTGCCCTCTGGACTGAGGCTAAGAGCTGGCATTCCTGACAGTGCTTCTAGAAGGACACGGCTGTGGGGGGGCTCCCCTGCCCAGCCTCTGTGCCTCATCCTGAGTCCAGCTGGACTCTGCTGCCCACGCCTGCCCCCCGAGCCTGCCCCCACCTCCGCCACGGCCCCCACCCGCCACTCACTTTCTATCTCAGACAAGCTCCGCTGAGCCTTCTCGGTGTCCTCCCGCTGCCTCCGGAGCTCGTCCAGTTCTGCCCGCAGGAACTCACAGTCGTCGGCCGCCTGCTGCCGCAGGTGCTGCTGCTCGGCCAGCTCCGCTTCCAGCTCGCTGATGCGGCCCTTCAGCTGCAGCACGACCCGCTGGCTCTGTTGGGGACTCGGGTCATGAGGCCAACCGCCCACTGCCACGGGTCATGGGTGTGAACCGGAGAAGCATGCTTCCACGTAAATACCCGGTTCCCCACGTCAACTCCCCACGTCTCAGTGGGGTTGGGCCTTCTGGTCATTAGGAGCTCCTCAATCAGCAGTAACAGGGGATGATGGCTGGGCAATTGTGGTCCTCTTTAGAGTGGCCAGGAGTAGCGGTGGCTGTCCCTGTGCGTAAAGTCACCTGACCAGCCACTCTGAGGGGCAGTTATCGATACAGCACCAACACTGCACATAGCCATCTTCTTCTCCTTTTTTTTTGGTTGGGGGGACAGGGTATCACTACTACAGACTGGAATGCAGCGAGGTGATCCTGGCTCCCTGCAGCCTTAGCCTTCTGGGCTCAAAAGATCCTCTAGCTTTAGCCTCCCAAGAAGCCAGCAGTACAGGTGTACACCGCCATGTCCAGCTAATTTTTAAAGTTTTTTTTATAGGGCCAGGCACAATGGCTCACACCTGTAATCCCAGCACTTTGGGAGGCCAATGCAGGGGGATCACCTGAGGTCGGGAGTTCAAGATCAGCCTGTCCAACATAGAGAAACCCTGTCTGTACTAAAAATACAAAATTAGCTGGGTATGGTAGCACATGCCTGTAATCCCAGCTATCGGGAGGCTAAGGAAGGAGAATCGCTTGAACCTGGGAGGCGGAGGTTGCAGTGAGCTGAGATCGTGCTATTGCACTCCAGCCTGGGGAACAAGAGCGAAACTCTGTCTCAAAAAAAAGAAAGTTTTTTGTAGAGATGGGGTCTTGCTATGTTGCCCAGGCTAGTCTTGATCTCCTGGGCTCAAGTGATCCTCCTGCTTGGGCCTCCCAAAGTGCTGGGGATTACAGGTGTAAGCCACTGCACCTGGCATACCAATCTCTCCTTATCATCATGTGAGAAAGTCTAGTCTTGTTTCCCACAGCTTCTGAGCCTCGTGGGGACCCAGGGTCATCTCTGGGTATCACAGCGATACTGTGCCTGGCCTAACTGCTGCCCTCAAGGCATGTAACATGGACATGCATCACGACAGAAGACACAGGAAGACCCGGTTCTTTTGGATTTAGCATTTCTACCAGTTTTTGTTTGGTTTTAGAGATGGGGGTCTCGCTATGTTGCTCAGGCTGGATTCAAACTCCTGGGCTTGAGTGATCCTCCCACCTCAGCCTGCTGAGTAGCTGAGATCACAGGTGCATACCACCACACCTGGCTCGTTTCTACTAATTAACCTGTCCTAAGGATGTAGACCAAAAAGTGTCTATGTGATTATGTGATGCATTTTTTTTTTTTTTTAATTTTGAGATGGTCTTGCTCTGTTGCCCAGGCTGGAGTGCTGTGGCACAATCTCAGTTCACTGCAACCTCTGCCTCCCAAGTTCAAGCAATTCTCAGCCCTCAGCTTCCCAAGTAGCTGGGATTACAGGTGCCTCCTAGCACACCTGGCTAATTTTTGTGTTTTTAGTGGAGACGGGGTTTCACCATGTTGCCCAGGCTGGTCTCAAACTCCCAACCTCAGGTGATCTTTCTACCTTACCTTGACCTCCCAGAGTGCCGGGATTACAGGCGTGAGCCACTGCGCCCATGCAGTTTCTTTCTTTCTTTCTTTATTTTGGAGACAGGGTCTTGCCTTGTTGCCCAGGCTGGAGTGCAGGGGTGCGATCAGGGCTCATTGCAGCCTCTAACTCCTGGGCTCAAGCGATCCTCCCACCTCAGCCTCCCAAGCAGCTGGGATGACAGGTGCACATCACCAACCTCAGTTAATTTAAAATTTTTCTGTAGAGACGGGGTCTTCCTATGTTGGCCAGGTTGGACTCAAAGTATCCTCCCGCCTTAGCCTCCCAAGGTGCAGGGATTACAGGCATGTGCCACCGTGCCTGGCCAGTGTGATGCAAATGTAGCATTCAAATCTACCGTGTTTTGGTGAAGGACAAAGGCAGAGCGGATCCAAGGCATACCTCAGTCTTCATGTTTTCTAGCTGCGCCTTCAGTCCACTGATTTCTCTGTACAGTCGCTCAATTAAGTGGTCCCTGGGAAGAGAAGGGGAATGAGTTTGCTTCCATAGTGCTTCTAGCCCTCTCCTTTTAATTGTGAGCTCAGGGGAGGAAATTAAAAGCTGGTATTAATTTGGGGACAATTCTTTGAAACTTTATAAATTATACTCTAAATCAGATACTAATCTAATAGTTGTAAGTCCATGGTTATTGATTTTCTTCTGGGATTAAAGGGGCCAATATTTGAGGATCAAGACATTTTGTGTGTGTGTGTTTGGTTTTGTTTTAGAGAGAGTCTGGCTGTTGCCCAGGCTGAAGTGCAGTGGCACGATCATAGCTCACTGCAGCCTTGATATCCCAGGCTCAAGTGATCATCCCACTTCAGCCTCTTGAGTGGCTGGGACTACAGGTGTATACCACCTGCCCAGCTAATTGTTTTACTTTTATTTAATAGAGGTGGGATCTTGCTATGTTGCCCAGGCTGGTCTTGAACTCCTGGCCTTAAGCAATCCTCCTGCCTCATCCTCCCAAAATGTTGAGATTACAGGCATGAGTCACAGCACCCGACCCTTCGAGATGTTCTTTGTCTAAGTAGCCCCTCCTCTTTGGTTAGTGTTTTGAGGCAGACCAGGACTGAACTTAGCTCCTGCACCATCTGCTTGAACCCAGCTTGGACTCACTTCTCATCCTTGTTCACGCCGTTTTGACTGTTGAAATTGAAGGGATCACTGCTGAATGAGCTGCCAAAGATGTCATCAAACTTGTTGTCAAATAAATTCTGTGGTTGACCAAAAAGGAGTGAAAATAAGTCAGAGAGCTAGAGAATTCTGTGTGTGGGTCAGTTGAGTGACATGGGAGAATGTCCCTTTTCTCAATTTGGTTCAGACCGATTTGTTTATTTTATTTATTTTTACTTTATTTTATTTTTTTTTAGACAGAGTTTCATTCTTACTGCCTAGGCTGGAGTGCAAACTCAGCTCACTGCAACCTCCGCCTTCCGGGTTCAAGTGACTCTCTTGCCTCAGCCTCCCGAGTAGCTGGGATTACAGGCATGTGCCACCACACCTGGCTAATTTTGTATTTTTAGTAGAGACAGGGTTTCTCCACGTTGGTCAGGCTGGTCTTGAACTCCCGACCTCAGGTGATCCACCCGCCTCAGCCTCCCAAAGTGCTGGGAATTACAGGAGTGAGCCACCGCACGTGGCCTGTTTTTTTTTTTTTAATTTTTTTGAGACAGGTTCTCACTCTACTGCCCAGGCTGGGGTGCAGTGGTGCGATCATAGCTCACTGCAGCCTCCAACTCCTGGCTCAGCCTCCTGAATAGCTGGAAGTAGAGGTATAGACCACCAAGCCCGGCTAATTTTTTTTATTTTTATTTTATTTATTTATTTATTTATTTATTTAGGTCCTGGCTCTTGTTCTCTTGCCTAGGCTGGAGTGCAGTGGCATAATGGCTCACTGTTAGCCTTGACCTCCCAGGCTGAAACGATCCCCCCATCTCAGTCTCTTGTATAGCTGGGACCACAGGTATGGGCCACCACGTCTGGCTAATTTATTTTTGTAAAGATGGGGTCTTCCTATGTTGCCCAGGCTGGTCTTGAACTGGCCTCAAGCAATCTTCCCACCTTGGCCTAGCAAAGTGTTGGGATTACAGCTGTGAGCCACTGCACCCAGCCAGACCCGTTTATGATCCTTCTGGGAGTCACAGAGCAGGATGCCAGCCAAGCTTGCTACTAGGTGAAGAGAAGGCTGAACCTGGTTAGCGTCAATGGGCTTTGGTCAGGGTCTCCCCCAGCCTCTCCCCTGTACTTGGAGGCAAGAGCGGTCCTCACCTGCTGAGAGGCGTCCATGTCCATGAGGTCATCCTTCTCTAGCACTGGCTCGCTGTCGGGGGACGAGGACTCCGCTGGGATCACCACCACAGGGCTGATGTGTTCTGACAGGGCTGAGGCTCGCAGGAAGTTGGGTGGGTTCTGAAGACGAAGACACATCCTCAAACACTGCTCGCTTGCCAGGCCCCGCCAGCCTCTAAGAGGGTACTTGGGGCCTCTGCAGTGCCCAGGGTGTGTGGTCGGGCATGCTTACCTCGGGCAGCTGGGGGATCTGAATCAGCCGCTTGAAGTACTGCAGGTTGCTGGAGCGGTAGAATAGATCTTTCAACCTAGGGGTGGAGAAGGACCTGAGGGTGCTGGGTGTCTTTATGAGCCCCACGTAAGGGACAGAGCAGCCACCTGGCCTTCCCGCCCCCACCCCAGCCCAAAGGCCCAGGCTGTCAAGGAGATAAACTCCATGGCGCTGGGATTCAATTATGATGCTACAGAGAAGGATTATTTAAAGCTGGTCCTCAGGGACCTGGTGGTAAGGGAAGAGTAGTTGATGCTACAAATCCTTTGGAAGAAGAGGTAATCCAAAAGCTGATTTCGTCATTGCTGTAGAATATATGTTGTTGTTTTGCAGACTTAACTTCCTAGGAGTGTTTGGTTTAGAGTAACATTAATAGAAATTGACTTTCTCTGAGGATAAACCAAGTAACCATAGGAAAAGGGAAGGGAATTGAATCACAAAGGTAGCTCTCTTCTTTAATTACTTCTTGTTTTTGGACTACTTATTTGTTCTCTCCACAATTACAAGTTCCTGGGAAATGGGAACTGAGCTCTGCTGAGCTGTTTCCCCTAGTGCCGGGAACAGGCGAGCCGTTCAATAAACACTTGGAGTATTACAATTGCTTGGTAGTGTGTCCTGATCGTGGGTAGATATGCACATGAGGAAACCCACATTTTTTCATAGCTCATACAGCCTTGAATTCCTGGGCTCAAGTGGTCTTCCTGCCTCAGTCTCCCGAGTCGCTAGAACTACAGGGATGCACCACCATGCCTGGCTGATTTTTAATTTTTTGGTAGAAACAGGGTCTTGCTGTGTTGTCCAGGCTGGTCTCAAACTCCTGGCTTCAAGCAATCCTACTGCCTTGGCCTCCCAAAGTGCTGGGATTACAGGCGTGAGCCGCCACACCTGGCAAAATCAACATCTTTTCTCATTCACAAATATCTATTTTGAATCTAAACACTGAAGACCAAGAAAGCTGAGTATCCAGATGTATATATTCTTTATCTTTATTACTTTTAAATATTGTTTGAGATAGGGTCTTACTCTGTCACCCAGGCTCGAGTATAGTGACATCATCATGGCTCACTGCAGCCTTGACCTCCCTGAGCTCAAGGGATCCTCCCACCTCAGCCTCCAAGTAGCTGGGAGTACAGGCGTGTGCCACCACACCTGGCTACTTGTTTTACTTTTTTGGTAGAAATGGGGTCTCACTGTGTTGTCCAGGCTGGTCTCAAACTCCTGGGCTCAAGCAATCTACCCAGCTTGGCCTCCCAAACTGCTGGGGTTACAGGTGTGGGCCACCACGCTTGGCCTCTTTTAATCTTTTTTTTAGAGACAAGGTCTGGCTCTGTCACCCAGGCTGGAGGGCAGTGGCATGATCATGGCTCACTGCAGCCTTGACCTCCTGGGCTCAAGCAATCCTCCCACCTCGGCTTCCCAAATAGTTGGAACTATAGGTTTGCACCATCATGCCCAGCTCAGACTTATCTATTCTCAGATAAAATGGGAACATGGGCCTTAACTCCTTCGGCCTGCAACATAGAATTTTCTCCAGCTTAGCCCAATAAATGAAACCCCCGGGGTCTCGTTACAGCCTGTCAGATTCCAAGACTTAGGCCCGTCTCTGTGACATCACTGCCGCTTCCCCTGAATTCAAGGACAATGAGGTCTCAGACAGGTGACCGTGTGTGTGCAAAACTGCAAGGCTGTTCCCATCTACTCAGGGGAGATGTTTTCATAAGCGAGGAGAAAATGAAAGGAAATGAAATCACCTGACCACACGTCCCCATCTTGCTGGGTTGGAGCCAACAGTAACAGGCTGGCTGCTTTCACAAGCTACCGGAATTTCACATTCCAGGAAATCAGCCCCAGGGCCTGTCTCCTGGGACTAAAGAAGCCATTTATCTTAGAATATGTACACGGCTTCTCAAATGGAACAGAGGAACCAGGAGGTGGGGACCACCACGCACTTGTCCTTTGCTCGCTCCCGGGGAAGCGGCCAGAGAAGCTGAAACTTGGCATTTGGGAGCTATGGTCAAGGGTGAGGAAATTAACAGGAAAAACAAGAGGATGCACATATACAGAAGCCGGGAGGCCCTTTTCATCTCCCTCTGTCCTTCCCTTTTGCCTGGTCATGCTTTCTTTCTCTCTTTTTTTTTGAGATGCAGTCTCAAAACAGAGTCTTGCTCTGTTGCCCAAGCTGTAGTGCAGTGGCATGATCTCAGCTTACTGCAACCTCTGCCACCCAGGTTCACGCTGCTACTGCAGCGTTCTCTTGCCTCAGCCTCCCAAGTAGCTGGGATTACAGCTTTTGTATTTTTAGTAGAGACTGGGTTTTACCATGTTGGCCAGGCTGGTCTCGAACTCCTGACCTCAAGTGATCCACTCACTTCAGCCTCCCAAAGTGCTGGGATTATAGGCGTGAGCCACCGCACCCAGCCTAAATAAGATCTTTTTTTTTTTTTAATGAAATCTCCTTCTGTTGCCCAGGCTGGAATGCAGTGATATGATCTTGGTGGATGTTGATCACTGCAACCTCCTCCTCCTGGGTTCAGGCAATTCTCCTGCCTCAGCCTCCCGAGTAGCTGAGATTACAGGTGTGCACCACCATGCCCGGCTAATTTTTGTATTTTTAGTAGAAGACAGGGTTTCACCATGTTGGTCAGGCTGGTATTGAACTCCTGACCTCAAGTGATCTGCCTGCCTCGGCCTCCCAAAGTGCTGGGATTACAGGCCTGAGCCTCCGCGCCCGGCTGGTGTTAGCAACTTTTACTGAGGCAGCAGTGCACAGTAGCAGCAGAGGTCCTGCTCCTTGAAGAGCAGGGCTACCCCATAGGCAGTGAGCCCAGAATAGCAGCTGTCATATTTATATCTACTTTTAATTTTATGTAGATTAAGGGGCAGGTTACGCAGACATTTCTAGACAAAAAGTGGTAACTTCCGGATTGGCAGGTTATTGCCAAGGAAAGAGGTGCTAACGTCCAGGTGTTGCCATAGCAATGGTAAACTCTCACGACATATTGGTGGGCGTGTCTTATGCAGAGGTGCTTCCTCCCCTTCCCGGTTTTACTTGCCCTTAATTTGGTCTGATGCCCAAGCCCTGCCTCTGGAGTCTGGTCACCCATCCCACCTCAGGGGCAGGTCATATTTGTAGGGTATCAACCAAACCTGCTAGTGGATTGGACATGGGGGATGAGGAAAATAGTGACTTCCAGATCTCTGGCCTAAGTGGATGATGGCAGTAATTGTTGAGATAGAAAAGAATAGGGAGGGGCTGAGCACGGTGCCTCACTCCTGTAATCCCAGCACTTTGGGAGCCCAAGGCGGGCAGATCATTTGAGGTCAGGAGTTCGAGACCAGCCTGGCCAACATAGTGAAACCCCATCTCTACCAAAAATACAAAAATTAGCCGGGCATGATGGTGGATGCCTGTAATCCCAGCTACTTGGGAGGCTGAGGCAGGAGAATCACTGGAGATAGGGAAGCTGAGGTTGCAGTCAGCTGAGATCACACCACCGCACTCCAGGCTGGGTAACCGAAAAAAAAAAAAGAAAGAAAGAAAAGAAAAAAAATAAAGGAATACAGAGAGAAAGGTTATTTTTGGGAAAACCTAGAGTACAGTTGGAGATTTAAGTATGGTATACAGATGTCTAATTGGGCACAAGATGTTGGAATTCAGCAGTAAGGCTTGGCTAGAGATACATACTTAGGGGTTATCAGTCTAGAAATGCTACAAGATGAGAATTTAGGGAGAGGGAAAAGAGAAGAGGATGAAGTCTGGGGTGTAAGCAGGCAACTAAAGAATGGATGAACTCTCGGCCGGGTGCGGTGGCTCACGCCTGTAATCCTAGCACTTTGGGAGGCCGAGGCGGGTGGATCATGAGGTCAAGAGATCGAGACCATCCTGGTCAACACGGTGAAACCCCGTCTCTACTAAAAATACAAAAAATTAGCTGGGCATGGTGGCGCGTGCCTGTAATCCCAGCTACTCAGGAGGCTGAGGCAGGAGAATTGCCTGAACCCAGGAGGTGGAGGTTGAGGTGAGCTGAGATCACGCCATTGCACTCCAGCCTGGGTAACAAGAGCGAAACTCCGTCTCAAAGAAAAAAAAAAAAAAAAGAATGGATGAACTCTCTTTCTTCTGTACGCGTCTATGAGATTTATCAGAGAACCAATAGTTACCCTAGCTGTAGGTAGAGTCGTCTCTGTCTGAGCTACTGTCTGTCACTTTATCACCATAGAATGAAGATAAACTTACCCTCAAGTATCTAAAAAATTTTTTAGAGACAGAGTCTCACTTTGTCACCTAGACTGGAGTGCAGTGGCACAATCATAGCTCACTGCAACCTCGAACTCCTGGGCTTAAGCCATCCTCCTGCCTCGGCCAGCCTCCTGCCTCAGCCTCTCAAGAGTAGCTGGGATCACAGGTGCATACCACCATGCCCAGCTAATTTGTTTTACATGTTTTTCTATAGAGACGGGTTCTCGTTATGCTGCCCAGCCTGCTGTGGAACTCCTGGCTTCAAGCAATCCTCCTGCCTCAGCCTTCCAAAGTGTTGGGGTTATAGGCATGAGCCACTGTGTCCAGCCACCTCTCAAGTATTTTAAAGCCAGTGTTCTCATGTGGCTTAATGATTTTATTTTTACTTATTTATTTTGAGACAGAGTCTGGCTCTGTCGCCCAGGCTGGAGTGCAGTGGCGCAATTTCAACTAATTGCAGCCTGTGTCTCCTGGGTTTAAGCAGTTCTCTGTCTCGGCCTCCCAAGCAGCTGGGATTATAGGCACCCACCACCACGATAATTTTTGTATTTTTAGTAGAGACGGGGTTTCATCATCTTGGCCAGGCTGGTCTTGAACTCATGACCTTGTGATCCACCCGCCTCGGCCTTCCAAAGTGTTGGCATTACAGGCATGAGCAACTGTGCCTGGCCTGACTTAATGACTTCATAGCACTCTTGGATTCACCTCCATTCCTGTTACCTGAACCACTTACTTTGTAAACTGCTCCATGAAGCGGTCCCGGTGGCCTTGCAGGGTGTCAGCTGGGAGGCCTGCAAGAAATTGGAAAGAGTGTGAGAGGGAAGGAGGACCAGAGGGCAGGGAAGCCACAGCAGGGCTCTGGAGGGGGAGGGGCCCAGCCATCCCGGGGCATGTGGTCAGCACTGCCAGGGGCCACGACTAGCCTAGAGCTGTCCCGAGGTCTGGTAACCAAGGGAGCCCAGCAGGAGCCAGCAGGAGTGTGGAGACGCTTATCCTCCAAATCCTTCCACTTCAGTGAGTTCCTGAAGGACAAGTCATGCCGGTCACAATAGGGTGGAAATTGTGTCCCAGACTAGAGAAGCAACGGTGGCCTGACCCAGCAGGACCATGGCAGGGGTAGGAGGGAGCAGTTCTTTCTCAGGTATTGCCTGCATTTGTTTTATCCTGAGGCTCAGGGCTGGTATTAGTCTGGACGAGATCCACAGAGCCTGCTCCAGAGCATGGCTGTCAGAAGGCAAAGAACAAAGGATTGAAGGCTGGGCACGGTGGCTCACACCTGTAATCCCAGCACTTTGGGAGGCCAAGGCAGGAGGATCACTTGAGGTCAGGATTTCAAGACCAGCCTGGCCAACATGGTGAAACCCTGCCTCTACTAAAAATACAAAAATTAGCTGGGTATGGTGGCAGGTGCCTGTAATCCCAGCTACTCCAGAGGCCGAGGCAGGAGAATCTCTTCAGCCAGGGAGGCGGAGGTTGCAGTGAGCTGAGATTGCACACTGCACTTTCTGCACTTTTTGACAGCAAGACTGCCCAAAAAAGAAAAGGGGGCTGGGCATCGTGGTTGACGCCTGTAATCCTAGCACTTTGGGAGGCCTAGGCAGGCAGACCACGAGGTCAGGAGATCAAGACCATCCTGGCTAACATGGAGAAACCATATCTCTACTAAAAAATACAAAAAATTAGCTGGGCATGGTGGCATGCGCTTGCAGTCCCAGCTACTCCAGAGGCTGAGGCAGGAGAATCGCTTGAATCCGGGAGGCGGAGATTGCAGTGAGCTGAGATCGCGCCATTGTGCTCTAGCCCAGGCGACAGAGACTCGATCTCAAAACAACAACAGGGCCGGGTGTGGTGGCTCACACCTGTAATCCTAGCACTTTGGGGGGCCAAGGTGGGTTGATCACCTGAGATCAGGAGTTCAATACCAGCCGGGCCAACATGGTGAAACCCCATCTTTAAAAAAAAAAAACAAAAACAAAAGAAACAATAACAACAACAACAACAAAAACCCCAAAGGATTGAGGCTTGGGAGCTGAGTTCCAGTCCCGGCTTGGTCGGTAGCTAACTCTATGACACTGTACACGCGGTGGCCTCTTAGGGCCACCTCCTCCTCTACAGAGCCGGTTTTCTGAGAGCCTGTCACCTCTCAGATGTGTGAATTTGCATATTTCAGCTATAGATCCACAGCTTGGCAATCCTTTTAGTGTTTGCTTTATTTGTTTAAATTTAAATTTGTTATTTTGAAATGGGTCATACATTCATCAGATAAAATCAGGGAACACATGTATAAAACATGATTATCGAAATGGCAAAAGATGGCTGGGCTCAATGGCTCCCATGTGTAATCCCAGCACTTTGGGAGGCTGAGCGGGGAGGATCGCTTGTACTCAGGAGTTTGAGACCAGCCTGGGCAACATAGCGAGACCCCCATCTCTAGAAAAATTAAAAAATAAAAGTTAGCCAGGTGTGGTGGTGTGTACTGGGGTCCTAGCTACTCCAGAGGTTGAGGTGGGAGGATCTTTTGGCCCAGGAATTTGAGGCCGTAGTCAGCTATGATTGCACCACTGCATTCCAGCCTGGGTGACAGAGCAAGGCCCGATCATGAAAAAAAAAA